ACCATTCCAATTCACAACTCAGAAAGTTCCGGTTCCATAATAACTGATTTCAAATCTAATTAATGTCAAATAAAGAACATACATATGAAGGATTAATGGACAGAATATAGAGCAAATGAAAAATGTGTTTGTGAACACAAACATAATTTTTGCAGTATCCAGAAGATATACATAATCTACTATCAGACTCCAAATATTTCACCTGCATTTCAACAGGCAGCTCAACAAAATAACCTTACAATTTTAATACTGAGACACAGATAGTATAGATTTTAGAGTTTGATAGACAATACTTACTCCAATCTTATGGCTAACTATATTTATAATGTTCAACAAGCAATTAGTTGTTACCATAGGCAATAGTGAGAAAGCTTCTGTATCCTAAGACTTACACAGTGTATTTTCACATAAATTTATGTCATAATGAGATATAATTTGCCTTTCTGCCCAGGAAATTTGTTCTTAAATCAAACTGACATGTAAAACATTATTTTATAACTCAAAAAGGTTTTTTTTTTTTTTTTTTTGCCTGCTTTCTGAATTAGTCCTGAAACAAGAAGCTTATAGACTGATATAAAAGAATAACTTGTGAAGGAGGCTTCTTTGTGTTAGTTTTACATGCTACTGAGCTTGTAGGAGGTGAGGGAAGGTTTCTAGAATTGTACTATTTCTATTGTTTGAATGTTACTTTCAAAAGATAGACAGTGATCACATTTACAGGACTTAACAAAGAGTACCTCTTTGTCCCAGAAAACACAAAATCATAGAGTAACAGCATCATTAAGACTGGAAAAGACCACTAAGATAATCTAGTCCAAGTGTCAATTCATCACCAGCATATTCAATTACCACGTCTCTCAGTGCCACATCCACTCTTTTCTTGAATACCTCCAGGAATGGTGACTCCACTACCTCCCTGGACAGTCCATTCCAATGCCTCATCATTCTTTCTGAGAAGAAGCTTTTCCTCATATCCAACCTGAAGCTCTGCTGGTGTAACCTAAAGCCATGACCTTTTGTCCTGTTTTTGTTACCTGACAGAAGAGGCTGACCCCCACCTCACTGCAAGTCCTTTTCAAGCTGTAGAGAATAAATATATATACGAATATAGAGCCTAGTGAACAGCCTTATCCATAAATCCATAAATATCTCTGTAATTACTCATACAAGTTACCTTTTGCTAGGGGAATTCCTATCTACTTCTAGAAAATAAAAAAGAGCTTCTCATTAGATTATCATATCACTCCCATCTATCAGCACACCCAAGTCAAAATACATAAAATATTATATCTAGAGAAGATGATCAAAAAGACATATGGCATTACCATGAAGTGAGTTAAGATACTGTGAAATGGCCACATCATGCATGTTATAGATCCTATGTGGCATGAATCCCTTCTACTCTTAAATGAACTTCCTTTTAAAATGCAATGTTTTTTTTTTTTTTTTTTTGTTAGTTTTTGCTAGAAAAAGATGTTAAAAAGCTGTATTACATGATGTGCTAAAATAACTGTAGATCATCTTGGCCCATACTTGTCATGTTGGAAGTTTTCTGGTTCTGGATCTAATAGGATCAAGAAGCAACTTAGAAATACCACACCCTCCTGTAATACCCAGCACTATAAGATAAATAACATAATCTGTAATCTTTCTTTTACATACTTGAAACAGATGCCAAAGACATTGACATTTCCTGTTGGTATTTCTCACTAGCAAATAAACTTCAGACTGTCAACAAGATCTTGATATGTAATGTCTTACTGCTAAACATGCTGAAAGTAACAGATGTTAACCTTATTAAATCAGTCAATACATATAGTTACAGTTCTGATCATTGCTGCTTCATTATTACTCTGTCTATTGTCACTGAAAACTTAGGCTGACATTTTGTAAATTAAGGAAGCAATTGCAGTAAAATTACTACAACTTGTAATTGGTTTTACTGATGCTTATTGTATAATCTCAAATAGAAAATAAACAACAAATTGAAAATATATATTTTACTGTTGTGTTATTCTGATGCTTTTCTGAAAATGTGAGCTAGTTTTGTGTGATGATCATTTCTGAAGATATTTTATTTTTTTTCTTCGAAGAACAGAAAAAAAAAGTTTTAAATATAGTGCTGCTCAATACATTTTGAAAACATTGATTCACTTAATTTCATTTAACTTTGCAAATGCTACTTAAACTTCATCAGTATTTCTAGGTCCTGAAATAAAACCCCAAAAACAAAACATACAAAGAAGCCAGAAATATGTTAAATTTAAGTGTGCTAATTACTGAAGTCAAAACAATCTATAGAATTTAGAGAGGGAACTGAACTTCAATGAGTTGTTGTGATATTTTCAGATGAAATAAAAAAAAATCCCTAAGCTGTACTATAGTCAAGAAAAGTGTGCTGCAACTATATTTACTTTTAAGTGGACTAATTAAACTCTTTTTAGAACACAGTGAACACAGTGTCCTGAAAGGATAATAAACATCAGCTTTAGAATGGCAAATTTTAAAATACATAGTACATGCCTAAAGAATGAAAAATTGTTTTCAGCTGGATATTTAAGACACTATTGTTTTATGTTTGTGAAACATTTTTACTGTTAATTTTACTGTTTTACTGATTATTAGGTTCACTATGGATAGATCTTTGTATATTGAAATACTTTTGTATTAACTTTTTGTAATCACATCACAAGCACAATCACACAATTCATTCCTCCACGTAAAATTGATGATTTTATTACAAGATTTTAGTACTTCAATCTGCACTGAAATGTTAAAGAATGCAGAAGGAAGAGAAATACCATTCAAGAACAGAAGTTACAGTAATTTCACGTCATTGAAGATTCTCATATATGAAAAATGCTTTTTCAAAGTATCATTCCTAGAGGAATATTACACCTCTTTTTAATTGTAGCAGACAGCTTAATGTTTTTATATCTGAAGTGTTGTGTAATCAATAATTTCGTCATGGAAGCTCAAAAGTTTAACATTCACTACATTTTGTTGAAGTTGGTGATTTCTTCTTTTTTAAATGATTATGAATCTTCTAAACAAGGATGAAAAAGCATTATCTATAATGAATTTACTTTAAGCAATATGTAGGATATGTGGTAAAATTTTAAGACAATTTCAGTTAGGGATTCATGAGGCGCAACACATCCATTTTCAAAACAACATTTTGCAAAACCCATCTTTTTTTTTTTTCTCTCTCTTATTTTCCAAATGCAAATGATATCTTTGATATTCTCTCACTCTTGTCATTTGCCAAGAATTAATGTTAAGGCACAGCTTTCACCATCTTCCTTTTTATGGAAATAAGGCAGATACTATTATTAAAAGTAGTCTCTGCAGATGGAGAAAAAAATAATAATTATATTAATGCCACCTTCTCCTAATGAGAGCTTTGATGCTTTTAGTCCCTAGTTGTACTTTAAAGACTAGGAACAGAGAGAGAATTTTCAATTCAGTCGCATGGGAACCACATTTGTCTGTCTGATCTCTTCTTCAGCTTCTGGGATAAGAAGTCTTTGCCTGAATTGACACAAGACATTTGACACCATCTTCCATTCTCACCCACAGTACACACAAAGCATATCTAATTGAAATCTGAGATGCCTTTAATGTCTTATACCACTGTAGAATGATGCAAGAAGAAAACATGAGTTAACTACACCTTCCTGAGGTAGGTAAGGAGCTACGATAGTCATGAAAAAAGCCTTGACTGTGAACCAACACACGGGAGTGCAGAAAAACACTGAAATTTATTGAACTATTCATGACTCTCACAGCTACTGTTTAAGTTACATTCAACATCACAAAGTCTTTACGGTTAGTCGTGATCATCATGCTTCGGGTATGGAATAGGGGAATGTGACGCTCCTCCCTAATAACCTAATTTCCATCTATAGACTGCTCTTAACACACATGTATGAAAGAGACAGTTGTATCACTTACACACAGCACTTCCCAGATGATCAGATAATAAGTAGAATAATTAAGTTAGAATTGTAAAAAGAAATATGAGATAAAGAAGATATTTGAAATAGCAAGAGGCAAGTTGAAGAGGTAAAGGGAGGGAGGAGGACTATATGAGGGATGATTAGAAACTAGACATGCATAGAACTGTTAAATTGGGATGTGGTAGACAGAGAGTAAACCAGCCATATTGATGCTCTCTGGGCCAAAGCTTGGTTTAGTCCTGTTCTAGAAGTCAGATAGACACAGTTGTGCCTAGAACAAAGCCAGGATTGGTTACATTTGAGAAGTCACTGTTTCCATCCTTCAGTACTCCCAAGCAGGAGTAGCAGGGTCAGATCTTTACAGAGCTGCTTTTAACACAATATATATTAACTTGATACCATCCTTTTGCCTGATGCATTGCACCAGCCATGCTAGCTAAATACTACCTAGGTTACTTTCAAGTACACTGATATTTTTAGAAGTCTCAGTTTTGAAAACTCACTTGACACCAAATAATATGCCATGTTCTTGAATGGCTGGTATAATTCAGAAAATAACTGTAAGATTTCTATTCTTTTAAAATTAATTACATGAATTAAAACCTATGTATGAAAATAAATAAGACAACAGACACTCTGAAAATATAAACACATGACAGTGCATGTCTCCACATAACTTTGCAAAGGAGAAACTAGTCATCAAAGCTACAAATACTAATGTTAAACCATATATAAATATATACACATTTTCTCCAGAAAAGAAAAAAAAATTGTTCTGTAGTGATTATTTGGTTCTAAGAAATTCTGTATGTGGGTAGCATGTTTGGTTCCATCAGCCATCAGACAAGTTTTAAGCATAGGCAACAAAAATTATGACTCCTATAAAATTAGTAATTAGGTAAATACACAATTGCTTCGTCTTTTCTTTCTTAACTGTTTCACTTTCTAATGTTTCCTACAACAGCAATTATCTTCAAAATGTTACCATTTAGTTTAAGCTCAGACTTCTTCACTGTTTAAATGCACATTTGAAGTTTCAGTGCATCTGTGATACTGGCTATGCCTGGGAGCATATCCATGATTCCTGGTTTCTTTAGTCTTGAATTCTCCAGTCCTATTGAAAAAGAAAGTTTGCCATATATATCAGAAACATTACTATTATTATTTTTTTTTCCCCTTCTCTAGAATATGCTGAGTGTGTTTTAAAATCTCCGGTATTCTGCATTTTCTTTTTCTACTAATCTAATTAAAAAGATACATGGAAATACTGACAGAGACAAAATTAACAGGAACAATTTTGTATTCAGTAGAGCAGTACTGCTTGTATTTTTAATTAAAGGATAAGAATATATCACATGATGTCTTAATTCGTCTTATTAGAAAAATCACACATCTATTCACTGTTAACTACTGTAGTTGAATCATTGCCACTTACTGTAAAGTACTGCCAGATTGGTGTTCCCCTTCTGCCCACTTAGTTTTCTTTTAATGAAAATATTTTTTACGCCTCAGTAAATGGAAAAATAGTAGATTAGTGAAGGATCAACATGATAATGATCAAAGACAAGGAAAATGATACTAATTTTGATGAGCCTAATTTCATCACCGCACAAAACTAAACACCTGTGTCTGAGATAAAAATAAAACCAAAATTGAACAACATACATTCTCTAGTTTTGCATAATGTTCTTCTGTTTTAATATAAGAGAATCAAAAATTAACTTGTGTACTTTGTCAGGGAAGAAAAGGAAGATAACGTACCCAGTCAGGTAGCTTACTTTTGAAATAATTAAAAAAGGAGTGTTAATATGCAGCATTAAGCATACACATATATCAACAGTTTAAACCTTCCACTGATGCGAGACAAGCCTAGTAAAGCATTTGTTTACATATTAAGTTTGATTGTATGATTATAGCTTTTTTTTTAAAAAAAAAAAAGTAGAAAGTAAACTAACGCAATAATAAAAAATCCCAACTTACTCTTGGGTAACTGTCAGTTGCTAAAAACAAATGAACAACAACAACAAAAAAAAAAACCCTGGTATAAATATTTCAAATTTCAATTAAAGTAGAGAATTTGAAAATATTGTGTTTAAAATGTAAAATGGGTAAGGGTAATGTGATTTTATATTTTATTTCTTTTTGCAACTGGTAGAGGAACACTGTGCTGTACTACCAAACCTAGCAGAACATTCTGAGGTTTTTTTAAAGAACTTCTTTCAAAAAAAAGGGTGATGATATTGTAGTCATTTATCTTAATGAATATAGAAATTATATGAAATATAACATGAATATAAAAAAATGAATATAGAAATTAAAAGTAAAAATGGAAGTGCTTCTTTTGTTTATAGCTGTCAAAAACATATGCTTTCGTTTTATTAAGGCATCCACAAATAGAAGTCAACACAGTTGTATTTGTTCCCAAATGCAATTAAAGTTATATACTATTTGCTTTTTCTTAAAATATTATGTTTCCCTCTGTCATGTTTTGCTGACGTACTGAGTGCTTGCCTCTATTTGCATTGCTTCTCTCTCTCAACTGTAACCACCTAAAAGTACAATTTCATGTATTCATCGGAGACAACCATTTTATTAAACTCAGTAGAAGATCTTGTATTATTTTTACTTGAAGCTTCCCAAACCATACATTCCTATGTTTTAATATGCATGTTTTAAATTCATTATGCCATCTGAATTACATACTGGTTGTCTCCATTACAACTTTCCTTTACGCATTTTCTCTTTTTCTGTTTCTATTGATGTGTTATCCATATTGTTATGGTGTCTGATACCCAAGTAAAAATTAACACATATCTTCACTAAACTGCTGTAAGTAAATATATACATATGTACATAAAACCATTCTTATTTTACAATTTACAAAGATAAATATATAGGGAAAAAAAAAGTAGTAAAATCACACAGATGCCAGTGGCAAAGTTAGAGCAAATTTTCTAAGCCCAAGTAGACTTGTCAATACTTCCTTTGAGACTACCTATAATTTGACTATTAGAAATAATGTTAAAAACCTTGAGATTTTTCAGGTCCCAGAACTACTTCACTGTCTTGCCACAGTCACACCAGAGTGTGTAGTTAACCAATGTGGCTTAGTGAAGAAATGCAGCTATTTCATGGTTGAGCGTGAACGCTTAGGACTTGTCAAAGGAATGGACTGTCTGTAGCTTATCAGCCTCTCTCAAATTATCTTTGAAACTAGAATATTAAGGTAGAATTACAAAAGCAATCTTTTTTTTTCTACAATGCAATGTTTCTTTAAAATGCCATTGAGAGTCATAACTATAGTGAATAAGAAAGAAAATATTTATAAACTTCACCATATATTGAAAATCGTCTCTATTTCATAATGTCAGTAAACTTTCATTTACACAGTTTATGTGCTAGGATTCATTTCTAGGGTGCCTTGTTTAGCCTAGGGTACTTCTTTCATTTTAGAGAATATATTTGAAGATAAGCCTGCCTTTGTGCACCCATTTGTCCCGGGGTGTTCCATTCATATTTAAATTTCAATTCAGAAACTCAATATTTACTATCAATATTGCAGACTGTCTCCAAAGAATTAATGGCTGCCATAACCTTTCTTTAGAAATCCTAGTATTCTTCTGGTGTGAATAAACAACATTTTCTTTTGCCTATCTAAAAAGGAATTCTGGAATAAATTACATGAGACTGAATATATAAAAAGTATTTTTCTATTGAAAATTAAATATTCTGCAGGAATGCATGGAAGATTTGAAGCCTTGGGAGATAAACTCCACAAATTTAAGATTATATTTTAAGTCAGTGTACATTGTCTCACTGACTTGCATGCTCTTTTCTCCGATTAAAACAGGTGTCAGTGAAAGTGCATATCTCATTCAATAATACAGTATTCAAATATGTTCATAACTATCTTCTTGACAGATATCCCAATTAAGCATTACTAGATATTTGCTTAAAATACTGCCTCACTAGAGATTTTGTTTTTAAAGAATCAGAAAGCTACACAGATTTCCCTACATTAGCTTCTACAGCACGCAGTTTACAGTCAACAGGTAAAGAAAAATATGGTGGTGAAATTCAGCTGAGCAGTTGGCAATAAATAATTTAGCATTTTATTTATTAATAATACATTTTAAAGTGATATAGACAGACAGTCAGGTGGGAGCACCGGTATAGCTCTTTGTACTAGAAGTATTTCTGTGTTTTTAACAGCAATGCTTCAAAGGCAAATATCCCAGTGTTTCCATTTATAGCTACAGTTAGTTAAAAGACAAAAATCATACCAGGGATACTTCACACCGTATCATTATTTCACGAAAACAAAACAAAATATGCAGAGACTTACGTTTTATTTCATCACAGAATAAAAGCAGAAAGTTTAGTTTGAGGAATAGATTTCCATTTTTATTTCACACTTGAATTTCTATTTGACATTAAATATGTTTTTTTTTTTTCCTTCTTGGAAAAGAAAACAGTGGGATTTAACAAACATCCATTCACACTAGAAGATTTGAAATGCTGACAAGCCACACAAAAGAATTCATGATTCACATAGATTATTTTTGTCAGTAGCACAGTATGTAATGCTTGGCTGAGTAATTTTTGCCAATACCAAAGAGAAAGAAATTTTATGAAGTTGTACATGAAAGCACAAGAAAAGCCTAGTAGAATTATCTTCTTCAATCTCATTAGTGAGAAGATTCATAGGAAAGAATTCTATGTAATCTAAATAGCATCTCTATTTTAACATATGATTACTTCATACTTGGTTACTGTGGTTATCTTCTACCTAAGCACTTACTGAATGGTTAGTGAGCTGAAGTACTGGAAATGCTTTCACTAAACATTCATCAATTTTGAAATGTTCTAATTTTTATATTTTTATGCATTATTTGACAATTGGGTACAATAGTTTTAAACATACATCCAATTTCCATTTCAGACTTTTGTTTTTCTGGTTTGTATGCAGCCAAGAGGAAGTCTGTGTAAGACAATTGATGTAATTTAAATGCGACTTTTGCTGCCTCATAGATAAATCCCAGACTGGACTGACCCAAAACCATCTATTATTGATAGAAATGCCCTGGTTGTATCACAGGCACCATGAAACTTCCAGTCAAATGTGTGAACCAATACCTTCAATCGCTTTTGCTTTATGTTTGAGTTCATGCTCTGGAGAGATATCAGACAGGCAAAGAATAAAATGCCAATCCATGTCTGGATGGAGATCAGTGATGAGTGGTGTCCCAATGAGAACAGTGCTGGGACCAGTACTCTTTAATCTCTCGATCAATGACATTGATAGTGGCATTGATGGCCATACAGAGGGACCTATACAGGCTTGAGCAGCAGGCCAAGGTGAATCTCATGAGGTTCAACAAATCCAAATGCAAGGTTTTGCACCCAGGTTAAGGCAACCTTCACTATCTATGCAATCTAGGGGATGAAAGGATTGAACACAGCCCTGCTGAAAAACACTTGGGGGTACTGGGAGGTAGACATGATCCTTTCAATATCTAAATTGGATCTATAAGAAGGAAGGAGATACACTCTTTAGCAGGGTGTGTTGTGATAAGACAAGGGGAAATGGTTTCAAACTAAAAGCAAGGGATATACACTGGATACAAGGAAGAAGTCTTCTACTATAAGGATAGTGAGGCACAGGAACAAGTTGCCCAGAGAGTTGGTAGATGCCCCCCGGGTCCTTAGAGACACTCAAAGTCAGGTCAGAGGAAGTTCTGAACAACCTGATCCAGATGCAGATGTCCCTGCTCATTGTAGGGGAGTTGGCCTAGATGACCTTTAAAGGTCCCTTTCAATTCAAAAGATTTTATGAGCCTACAAATTAGTGTCAACTAGCCACATACAATGTGCATTTAAAGTCATTTTACTACAAACATTATCAATAATGAACACTGTTTCTTTTAAATCTTCTCACAATTTCATATCCATTCTTGCTCTGCTAAGCTTGGTACAATCTATAAGAACTGGAATAGTTTTACTTACTCATATAATATTCAACATGTTGAAATACAGGCAGTATATTTTATCTAATAACAGCCTAATTAAGGATATTACTTGCCTCTCACCAAAAGCAACTAATGTTGATGTTTCATATATTAGGAAAGAATTAGGAATGTAAGATGAAGAACTACAGACCTTATTCCATTCAGAAAACTAAACTGAACTGAACTAGAAGAAAATAATTAGGTAGCAGTAGCAATTGAAAAGTCTATTTCCATGGAAAGTGCTAAGGAAATACTTTTTTCTCAGTTAAGTGGAAATTTACTGACACTGATAGAGAACTCTGGAAAACTGCCACAGCACAGTCTGTTCCTGTACATGCTTCCACACTAAAATTCTAAAATTCCATACTAAAATCCCTCCCACATACATTTATTTTTCTCATGTTCCCTTTTTATTTATTTATCCTAATAGCTTTTTGGCTTAAATTTAGCAGGTCTTCAGCTATGCAGATATATTTCCTATAAACAGTATTAAAAAAAACCTTCCTTGACTTTCCTTTTCAGGTTGAAATACCCACAGAAGCCTTTGTTGTTTGTTATTCTTGGTACTCCTTGCCAACTTTAGTTCAAGCTGGGCAATGGCTTCCCTAACCCCTCACCTACACAGACTACTAAACAAGACTCATTTGTTACTTATTTTGAGGTATAACATAACTAAAAACAAGCACTGAAATGGGTCTATACAATTGTAACATTATAAATGATTAAGATGGCTTTACAAAACACTTAAGGACAGAATATGACTATTACAATTTCGTGTTTTATCTGATAAAAAGAATGTTTTTGCAGAAGCATACTCTAATTAAATGTTATAGAAAAAAAAAAATCAACAACCAAGATAGCAATGATCTTTGAAGTATTCTTCATAAATAAATTAATCAGCAGTTAAAATAAGGACAACCAGCACTATTTTACTGTGGGGGAACTAAAACTAATTATTAGATAGAGCGATTAGAAAGTGAACAGGAATCTTCATTCACAATCCATTATATGAAAAAAATAACTTGAACGAGTACTGTTAAGGGAATACTTTTAAAGACAGTAAACTATTTTTAAACAGTGAATGTGAACATTTAGTTCTTAATAAAAGTTGAAATGAGTTGCATGATCACTTCATGGCAGTACTACAGTTTCGTGAGACTAGAGAATTCAAAAACAACAGAAATAAAGTAGGGGAGATTCATGGTACATTTGTTTTTAAATAATTATCTTAAACTCAATTGAATAAAGAATTACTTATTTTCTCTCTGGATTTAGAATCTTAGAATCACAAAAGTTGGAAAAGATCTCCGTAATCATCCAGTCCAACAATTCGCCTACACCAGTATTTCCTCACCAAACCATACCCTTCAGTACAACATGCAAACATTTCTTGAACAGCTCCAGGGATGGTGCACAATCAATGAATATTAAGATGTTCTAATTACAAAATAAACAAGGGAGTGTGGCAAAGCAGATAACGATAACAAAAAGAGAATAGATAGAAGACTTACCCCTATCCTGGGCTCACTTACAAACTCCAGCAGAACAGATTTCCAGAAGAGATCCTTCCCTGCTGGTAGCCAGCTCTTAAATAAGTCTTCCGGCAGCACAGGTGAATTGCCTTCACCTGTGCTCCTCTGGCTGACTCATTGCTCACCTCAGGTGATCAGAGGTTCAGGCCATGACTCAGCAGTTCCCATACAGATGGTGACTCAATCACCTCTCTAGGCAGGCTATTCCAGCTCCTGACCACTCTTTTGAGAAGAAATTTTTCCTAATATCCAACCTAAACCTCCCCTGCTACACTTTGATACCGTTCCCTCTAGTCCTATTGCTTGTTACAAGGGAGAAGAGGTTGACCCCCACCTCACCACAATCCCATTTCAAGTAATTGTAGAGAGCTACAAGGTTTCCCCTGAGCCTCCTCTTCTTCAGACTAAACAATCCCAATTCCTTCAGCCGCTCCTTATAAGATTTTAAGATAAAAAAACCTTTACTGGACAAGTTTCTAAGACAAGATAATAATGTAAGTGTCTAATCTGAAAACACTATACATACTTTCTACATTGAACTTTCATCGTAGGAATACATAAAAAATTAAAATATGTAATTTATAAAATTTACACATTTTCAGCTTCCATTCTTTTTGTAATAATGGAATTTAAAAGTTCTCACATTCTTTTATTTTGATGCATTTCACTTATTTACAGAGAATATTTCTGTCTGTTTTTTTACTGTTCAAATTTTGATTTACCCCTCACCTCTGTGAGAATCCTTCTTAGTTTTTTTTGGCTCAAAGCTTGCTTCCTGAGGTATTTCTTGTGATAAGACCATGAGTGACTTGCCAAAGAGGCAACTGATGGGTGCTAACCGTGTGATAATCGATATCACTTTGGGAACATTTGCAAGCCCCTTCCCCCAGAGCTGCTTGCTCTGTAGAAGAGCAGAAGAGAGTGCTCAGGAGTGTTCACTGGCGGAAGATCTGGCCTGTGGCCAAACCGCTCCAGCTAAGAATGGAAGGCTGGGGGATGATACCATTGTATCTTGCGAAGGCAAGATGCAAGTTGGTGCCTCCCTGCTTCCTCTTATCTACTGGCAAGGCCAGAAAGATAAGAACAAAGGAGGTTCCTGCTGAGATCCCAGAGCCAGAAGCTGCCACCGCAATGAGAACTGACTCAACCACCTTGGGTTTGATCTGTCACTCAAAGGAGAGCTGATTCGACCACTTTGGATTTGAGCTGTCACTCCAAAAACAGCTGACTCAACCACTTTGAAGTATTGAAAAAGGCCCATCATCACCATGGTCGTCGTCATCGTTGGCAACAGGACAACAATGCCTGACGACCCACCGCTACTGAGGATCAAAGACTGAACTACGAACCTCGCTGGATCCATGGTGGTGACTATGTCCCTCTTGCTTCCTATAAAGACTCCTTGCTTCTTCTTTTCTATCTTTTCTATCGCCCTCCTTCCCTTCCCCCATTACCCTAATTCATAATAGTGTCCGTTCTCCCATTCCCCATTTCCCCTGATTAAGATTTGTAATAAACTGGTCGGACCAACATTTGAACCGTTGCTTCTTAATCTCACGCCGGGTATGTAGATAATAAAAGAACCTCCTCTCCCTCCTATAAATTGGAGCGAGACAACCTCCACAAACATTCTCAAGAGGTTGTTTTTTTTTTTGTGATGCAGCTTCTGGTGTGACAGGTGTACTCTATTTCTTGTAATATAGTGGAAATTAAAAATATTATTTCATCATTCATTTTTCATGTCCTGAATTTCAAAATTCACTCTATTCACACTTTCTGACCTTATTGGATCTTGTACAGTTTGTCCAATAAATCAGACAGTATCTCATACAAACTTTCAGAATCACAGAATCATCAAGTTGGATAAGACTTCTGAGATCATCTAGTCCAACCATGCACCTACAAGCAGTACTGCCCACTTAAGAATGTCTATAAGTATCATATCTACACATTTATCAAACACCTCCCAGGACAATGACTACACCACTTCCCTGGGCATCGTGCCTCACCACTCTTTCTTAGAATAATTTTTTCCAAATATCCAATTTGTACCTCCCCTGGTGCAACTTGAGGCCATTATGTCTCTTTCTATGAATAGTTTACCTGTGAAATGAGGCCAACCCCCACCTTGCTACAACCTGCTTTCAGGTAATTGCAGAGAGCAAGAAGTTAAGCCCTCCTAGTGGTAACTAACTGGCTGTATTCTTTATATACATTATATATATATATATATATTTGTAATAGAAAACAATGTGATGGACTATTTAATTCCTCTTATTTACAATTTAAGCTTGGTAAATGCATATTGATTATATATATTAAATGAAGAAGAATCCTTGTTTTTCAGTGTTATGCACCAAAATTAGCAAATAAATTTTTCAAAAGGATTTTCTAGCTGTAGGTAACAAACTCCAGTATATGCAAGCACAGCTATGGTATATATCATACAATTGTTTTTGTCAGGTTAAGTATTCTTAAAGCAAGTGACATGTAAATACAAACAGTTACTGGCACTGTTCAGAGTATTCCATATAAATAAACATCATACCTTTTGCAACTGGTCAATACCTATTTGTACAGATCTGGATGTCAGCATGTAACGTAAATATTTGAATTTATCTCTGTAGTGTCAACACAATAAACCACTTGCTACACATAGGGCCCCCAGCTTTGTGCAAGGAATTGTTGTGTTATTGCTGCACTTCAACAGCTGAGCATTTCCAAAGCAAAATACGCTCCTTTGAACTCAGCAACTTCTGACAGAAATTAGCACTGATGTTTATACTCAAGCTGCATGTAGAAATCTGTCAGTTTTGGTCAGTCAGAGATTGGTCTGGAGCTGAGGCTGCTGGCATTCTATGCCAGTAATCTAATGTAGAAAGCTATAACCTGAAAAAAAAAAAACCCTCAGGGTGGAATACACACATTAAATGCAACATATAGAAAACTGCCTGCATGGTGGAACACAGAGAAGCTGGGACTGAAGCAGAGCTGACATCTCTACCAGCTGTCTCCCTGGGTCCAGAGGGCCAGGCTGAAGTGCACCAGAAGGACTATGTCTCAATGGGTGTGAGAATGGAGAGTGTGTGTTTCTATGTCATGGGAAAAACACCACTATCCTCTCACTTGTATAGATATGAATATACATATAGGTTGCTTCAAAAGTAATGCCTCCTATTTATTTCCATGAAAGAATACAGTAATACTATCCGACAGAGCAAATTCTCAGCTACAAAACACTATTTTTCAGCACAGTCATCACCATTAGCTACGATTTTTTTGCCAACAATGAATAGCCTGCATGCTGCATTCATAAAAATCTACACCAGCAGAGGTGACTCACTATCACTGACTTCAGCATCACAATGCTGAAATGTATACCACCCACCACCTTGCTGCCCTCACACCCACTGTTTCATTTCTATAACAGTTCAGCAAGTGTCAATGAATATTAATGAGTACATTTTCTTCTACATGAAAGAAATCAATTATACCTTTGCTTCATATGCCATTTTGTCAGACTGCCCCTTTGCTGCCATCTGTCACGCAGAAACAAAATTGAATATAGTACTGGTTGGAAGGTTCAACCTCTAATACCATATCTCCAACATCTACCTTTGATACTGTGGGCTAGCCTAATAAAATAAGTGGCATTACTTTCAGAACGGTATATACAGGATGTGCATTTATATTCCTATATATGTATGCATATATGCCCACTGGCTCAGGCATCAACAGGCCTTTAAACACTCTGAAGAACACATTAGTACTGCTTTAAAATGGAAAATACTAAGGTGCGTTATCTGGATTTTTATAGAGGAAAAAAAAAAAGAAAAAGAGAAAAAAGAAAAAGAGAAAGAGAAACAGAAAGAGAAAAACAAAACATATAAATTCAGCCCAGAAATGCAAAAAAAGGCATTTGTTATTTATACTCATTAACTACCTTTCCAAAAGAGTTGTCTGCACAAGGTAGAGATGTCCTTTGCTTCAGCTGACTGAAGGGTTCTGTCACCTGCCTCAAAGGATTGAAGTTTTTACAGTATTCACTGGGTATAATTTCTCCCTTTTGTTTTGTTTTGTTTGTTTGTTTTGTTTTTTTAATTGCTCATAATGTCTGACTATGAGATGCAGTGGCACTCACTGACCTGCTCTGGCAGTAGGGAAGATTAGCCAGTTGTTACTTGCTAAACATGTAGAAAGTGCAAACTCATACTATATCTGTGCTCAGGGTAACAAAGGAAAAGCACTTCTACAACTGACATGTAGACAAATGCATACGTTGCATAATAAGAATTTGTGCATTCCAATGGACAGCACGTAACAAGCAAATACTTCCTATTATTCCTTTCTATTACACAAGTATAGTTTGCAATTGAAGAACATGCTGCAACTTACAGAGGGTTTAAAGAAAATTCTAAATTCTAAATTGAAGATCGTTTTGTGAAATGCACAAAAAACGATCCATTTCTATTAGTAAAGTTGTTTTTTGGATTATTTGGTTGACAGCTCTTCAGTCTCATAGAGTTATGACTGATATGTAAAACTATCTGTATATGAGCTTAGAAATGCTTGATATTAAAAATAAGGACAATTAATCATTGGTGCCATATAGCAAGCATAGGCAATGTGGATCTCAGAAACAAAGCATGCTAATGGTGATTTTAATATTTTTACTTTTTTTTTTTTTTTCTAAAATTAAATATAAATTTTTAGAAGCTTCCATAGGAAAACTGCTGACAGTTATTTTCTTTTCCTTTTAATTTATCAAAGTAATCAATTAGAAATGACAGTTTTCTGAAGGTAGATAAAATAAGGATTATTTCTTTTCCTTAGGCATGAAGATGAGTAAATAGGGACATTTCTGGTATAAAATGCTATATCCATAGAAGCATAGAACAGTTTGTTGCAAAGGACCTTAAGACCATCTAGGTTTAATCCCCTGCTACAGGCAGGGTCACCTCCCTCTAGACCAGGCTGCTCAGAGCCCCATGCAGCCTGGCCTTGAATGCTTCCAGAGAGGGGGCGTTCACAACCTCATTGGGCAGCCTGTTCCACGGTCTCACCACCCTTACAGTAAAGAACTACTTCCTAGTATCCTAATATCTACTCTAAATCTATGGACTTCCAGTTTGGAGGCATTTTCCCTCATCCTGTTGCTACATGTCCTTATAAGAATCCCCTCCTCAGATTTCTTGTAGGCTGCCTTCAAGTACTGGAAGGCAGCTAAAAGGTCTTCCCGGAGCCTTCTCCAGGCTGAAGAGCCGCAGCTCTTCATGGCCCTTTCATCAACTTTCATTGACTGACACTCCATAATCCTTGTCAAGGGCTGCTCTCAAGTCATTCTTCTCTCATCCTGAATTTCTGCTTGGGATTGCCCTGATCCATGATGAAGTTCTAGATAAATATTGTTTACAGTCTGTGAAACTGAGATGCAGCCCTCAATCTCCTGGAGGAACTGCTAACTCTATGCACTTCATAAGAGAAAAAGTCTTCAATGATTCCCACGATGCAACTACTATAAAGATATTTTACTGGGATTTTAAGTAACAGTTATTCAAATTATGTCTTTTATTAAAAGAAATGCTGAATTCATCAGGTTAGGGAAGACTAAAACTAAATTTTAAAATAACCATAAATAATTACTAAAGAAAAAGTATTAGTTTCTCTGTCTTTTAAATGTGCTGTCTTATAATACCCAAGATCCTCCAGTAACCTTTTTGTTTATG